GATGTTGGTTCTTCTTCCGAGTCGGTCTGATAGGTAGGTTAAACATAACAGCTAAATGGTTTTAATGTCGGTTATTATGTTAAGCCCATATACCTTATTCTAGCTTTCGGACAGCCCATTCTATTCATTCTACTTGAGTCACATTCTGACCTTGTTATTTATTCGCTTGACTGTTTTTATATGAGCGCGTAGATGTGTGTACACTTCCTATCCCATTACTCATCACATGTCTGTAACTTACTTTTGTGTAACTATAAATATTGATTAACGCTTGGTTAAAAGGGAGTTGGTTTACTAGTCATCCCCACTCTCTGTCGTTTCTCTTCTCTCTATTCCATTCGCTTTATATACAAAATTATATGTATTCACAAGTCCATTCTCGTTATCTGACTTATTTAATTCCGTTATTGACTAACGCGATTAAAATCGATGATTATATACGAGGATAGGCGATAATAAACATTCATACGATCTAATTGGAGTCAAATCTATGGGTCACTAAAGTGGAAAGGCCTTTCGACAACATCGTCTGATCTTAATGACGAGAAAATAAAGAGCCCTACATGGTCAATGATTTTTAACCATGATTTATTGCATGTTACTGGTCATAAAATGCTATATTTCAATTGTTGAACTGTCAATTACATAAAGACTATTTCATTGTAAAATATTGGAAAACAATTATACTACTTAAAAATATTTAAGTAGGTCATTTTAATAAAGAATTGTCATTTCATATAAAGATGAATTCAATTGAAATTCATCTAATAACATATTCATTCTATTTATCATATGATCTGACAAGAAAACATAATTTGACCTGAATTACAATCAAATCACTTGAATATTCCTTTCATATAAACTGAATTTAATAAAGAACAAGAAGGAGAAGAAGAAGAAGAAGAAGCCACGTGATTATTATTACTATCATCATTGAATATTTGTCTATTTGAAATGTATCCTTTCAATCCTTCATCAATATTACAATTTGAATGAAGCTTTCAATGTACAATGTTCATTGACATTAAACTATCACATGTGATAAGCTCCAATTTGTTTGTTTGTCAGAAGGGTATTTTTGTGGATATTATTAGTAATTTTAATAGTTGAGATTATTAGGCAATTCAAACTAGATCACCATGGGAAACATGGATGTATTAATGTTAGGATCCAAGAAACATAAAGAATGGTAACTTTGGGATTTATTTATGGACCAATACTGTGCGTATATTTTTATCGTATAATAGTTAAATAACTAAACTATTCGTATTCATGTCGCTCTTATCATAAGCTTTATTTTAACCTATGAACTGTTATTATACGATTTTCAATTCTTGAATTATTCCCTGTCTATTAATCACTACGTCCCTCATTCACAGCCACATCTGGCTACTTCTTGTACAAATGTTGTTTCATATTTTATTGGTACATTGTGGTCGGTTTGGTTGTTAAATAATCTCAGTATGTTTGAGATAAATGATTCATATCACAGAGGCTCGGATTGTTGTTTTGGACTTAACTGGCTAGGCTAAGCAGGACCAGTCAGAACTCTAGACCTCTCGTACGTGTTTCAGGCGTCCTTGGTCCGATCGATAATTCATTGCTCTCTAATCGGCGGTCACAAATTATAACAACTATATAGTGGTTTCATTCTATTGTAGGATTCCTCAATCAGTTTATTTGTAAAGGTTTTGTAAAAATACAGGAAAACATTGTAAGTGATTTATGAAAACAACTTGAACAGATTGTTGTTTATTGTTTATTGAAAAGAGATTTTCGTAATGATATTTTACTGTTATATGTTGAGTGATTACTCATAGATTAATTGTTGGATCAACTAAATTAACAGTCAACTTGAAGAAAAAGGTTATTAAGACTTTCTAGATCACACAATGTGAACAAGAATCCAACAACAACAACAACAACAACAATAAAACTTGTTATTATTTAGAAACTAGTGGAAATGATAGAGTTGTTATGAGTTTATGTCCGGTTAGCTATCATGTGATTTATCCAACAACCAAAATACGACTTATACAATTTTAGCACAGTGCCAAAACCAATGACGTTCGACCTGTATGAGCAGCCCAGCGTCCTTATTAGTCCTATGTCCACCTAGCCCGTACACTTGAGTCCAGAACACCAAATACCAGATTCCACTATGCGAATCGAATCATTTATTTCAGACATACTGGGTTTATATATCAACCAAACAGACCGCATCGCACCATAAAATAGGAAATAACATTTGTACACAATAAAGCCAAAAAGTGACTGTGAACGTGGAAGGCAGTAGTTAATAAACTGAACATAACTTAAGAACAGTAAATCGTACAATAATAAATTATAGGTCAAAATAAAGCTTATAATAAGAGTAATATAAATATATATAATCTAATTATTGAATAGTTATACCATAAGAATGTATGGATGATATTAGTCAATTCATATGTCTCAGAAGTTACTCATGATTTAATCTTCGCTCAGATATATAACAGAAAACTAGCTTGGATTACATGCATGTAATGCTCTTTATTGTCTTAAAGAGAGTAAGAACAAAGATTTTTTTTATTCAACTGCTTATAAGAAGTGTTATTTAAAAGTTAATGACCATAACATGAGATGGAAATACACAAATAATCGATATTGATTATTGTTTTGAGTAATTATGTAACTGCTTTTGTGAGGTAGATGTAAATGTATGTACACAGTTGGATGTAACATGAAAACAGCAACTATCAACATTTCAATAGATTATTGAACATATTATTTTAAAGAAGATTAATAGTTCAGCTTCAGAGTTGAGTTTTGAATAATGCACTGTTTAACCATCTAAGAATTGTTCTCAAAGTACACAATTTAAAACTTCAGATAGATAAACATCAATTACTTACTGACTGTAGCTATATTCAACTCATTGTCATTAGGTTTTCCATATTTATCAATAAATTCTTGTGAACATCGATTTTCTATTTGTGATCTTTTCAATGTCAATCAATTATCCTTTTAGTTTCTGAATGGTACATTATCTTTGCTGCTTTATGAAATGGTACTTTGTTGAATTCTTTTTTTGCATTAGATTAGAAAAAAACAGTTTACAATGTCTAGTATTCCATTCCAAAGCCGAATGTTGAACTGTACCATCTATACATCAATGTCAAGAAAGTAGAACTTGTTTATTTTCCTGTTTCTTGGTAAGCTTTATGTTATCATGAATCTTGTTAAAAATTCATAACAGATAGTTTGAATTCTGTTTACTGTTACACACACAATGAATGTCTCATCGACATACTTTAAACAGTCTATCATTTTATCACTTACTTATTCAAGCTTCATCTTTTCATAATTATGTAATAAAAGGAAGGATTGTAAATTATTCTTTGAAGTTAATCACATTCTCATATCGAATGTCCTGAGCAATCGTTTCTAGTTTTTACCAGTTGCAATTCATCTTTTTGAAAGCTGCTTCTAATTCCCTACTTAGTGTGTTGTTTGGCATTCCTTTTCTTCATTTCCCTTCAGAATACCAAGATAGCGTTTGCCTCGTGATTTCATCCTGTAGCTCTTCTAGGATTACTGCCGGTCACATATTCAAGTATAGTAGAAGGGTTGGACATGATGTCAGCAACTCAATCTCGAAGAAAGCAATCTTGCTAAAATGATCATTAACCAGAATAAACAATTTTTAATTCAACACTCACATTGAAATTCATTAAAAGAAATTCAACACTTTTCTTAAACTCAATCTATAGCTGATGATCAAATCTATTGAATATTACAACGAATATTATCTGTCATTCATAATTGAGGTATAGATAGATTATTTAATGTATAATGGTTGAGATCATGAGTCAATAAGAGCTAGACCACCATAGAAAACCTGAAAGCACTGAACAGCCGTTTCATTGTATTGTGGAACTCCACAGTAGTGCGCATCTACTATCACGCCTCGAGGGATTCCAACCCAAGACCTATCAGTCTCGCGCGCGAATGCTTAACCACTAGACCATTGAGCCGGTCGGCATGCGACAGTGTTAATGTCTAACTACAATTAATACACGAAATTGAGCGACACTTCCACCATAGTGTTCAGTGAATTACTGCTAGGTTACGAGTTCACTTAATCTGCGAACGGAAACAAAGACTTGTGAACAAAGACCAATAAACTAGTTATTCTATTGCATCCCAGCCCTCCTTACTAGAGAGAGAAGTCGAAATCCGAAAGAGAAAGTATATTCCACAAAGAGCTAGAAGCATAAGTGATAACAACAGACATAAATCCAAATGCATATATATACAGCACAAAACCTTCCCTGGGGAGCGTTACAAAATAGCATACTCAAGGACACAATGGACCAATAGCATTTAAGATTCTCTCAAGTGAGAAATACAACATGAAAGTGAAAAAAGTGCTTTTACCGCGGAAACAAATAAATTCAAATTTTCAACATAAAATTACAAAATTAGATCCTTTTTTTGAAATGAGTTGTGGAGATCTAACATCTCCAACAGTTACTATCTCACAACAGACCTGATTGAACTCTATTGGTCATTGCCTTTTCACTAGAACTTCAGATATTACTTGTTGAAACTAGTTAATAGTGAGCATATATATTGATTAATGTCTAACATCAATTAATCCACAAAATTGAGCAACACATTCTGATACTAATATATATATATTACTCATTTATATTAAGTAATTTCATGAATATTTTGATCACATGTTTTATATATTTCATAAACAAACAAAATACACCCAAAAAAAATGTTAACCCCGTAACCATTAGAATTGTAATGTTGTTATATTAATGAATGAACCAATCAAAGCAAAGTGTTTCTTCCTTCATATTCATTTTAACATATATAAATAAGATATGAATATGTTGATCAGTTTATCATTAGAATAATTTGCATAAATTCAATCGATATTAGTAATATACTAATTAGAATTACATTATATTAAAGTACCATTTTTTTTCTTCTCTTATTCTTCTTTTACATTATCAAGATAGTTGCCAGGTATATTTCTTAAAACAAAGTGAAACACTTTTTAATGTCACATTCAAGGAAATCAATATTATCAGTGAAATTTTTTATACAAGATCCTATTAATCATGATCATATAGTTTATCGATGGATGACACCTATATTAGTACGTAATTTAGATTGGGATAAAGTCATTGAAAAATTACATTGTGTTACTTCTAAAAAATATTCAGGATTTGAAATGACATGGTATGGTAAGTATTATTTATATATATATATATATATATATTTTGTGGGTAATTTCAATGTATAATATTTTGATTGAGATCATGAACCGATTGATATTAGACTACCATTAAAAACTTGGAAGCACTGAATGACCGTTTCGTCCTATTGTGGGACTCCTTAACAATGCACATCTACGATCTCGCTTGCGGGATTCGAATCCAAGGTCTTCAATCTCGCACGCGAACGCTTAACCTACTGAAATATCAAATGTTTCATCATTTCAATCAAAATCTTAACAAACTCTACAACCTCTAAACTGATAATTCAATGTATAGGTTGGATTGAATGATGTTTTCTGATTATTATTATTACTATTATTATTGGTAGTAGTATTATCTTGCGTAACCATTTATTTAATGTGTAAGGTAAATACTTGTCTTTACCTGACACAGATTGAACTCCACTGGTTACGATGTCTCATTAGAATTCCAGGAAATCCATCTTGAAGTCAGCCACTAGTGAAAACATGATGATGATTATTATTATTACCAGAATGGGGGTTTTTGTAAAGATTGTAGTAATTGTAATAGTTGAATTCATGAGTCGAATTAATCTTAACAAATTTAAACTATCATAAATTGAAAAAAAATGAGATGAAATTCTGGAAACCTTTTGATAATAACGATTGAATAATATATCCATGATAAACATCTTATACTATGTTGGTTCTACTTGGAAAAGAACACTTTATCATAGAAACTGGCATAAACTTGTATTGATCCAAATAAGTAGATCTTAAAGCAAAGATGAAAAATACATAGTTTGATAGAAGAGAATATGATATTTATTGTAATAGAATAGTAAGCATAAGAAGTGACAGTTAGTATAAAACATTGGATTCTAGCTGTAACTATACTTTATTCGTCTTTTTCAAGACATTTAATCTAACATTTTCAAATATGATAATCTAGTAGAGTTCAGACAAGATGGCTCCTCTTACTGATATTACATAGATCGTTTAAGTTGTATTTTGTAAACCTTTATGATCACAGGGTTTAGGATAACGTATATTTTATATCAAAGCCGTTATATGAATGACAGAGTAAAAATAATATGTGGATAGAAATGTTACTATTACTTAAGCATAAAAATTAGATTCAGATGATCAAATATGATTAATCACAAATGGGTTTTGTGGAGATTTTTAGTAATTTCAATGGTTAAGATCATGAGTCAATTGAAGCTAGACCACCATGGAAAACTTGGAAGCACTGGAGATTCTGGGTTCGAATCTCGCAGAGGGGCGAGGTCGTAGATACACACTGCTGAAGAGTCTCATAATAGAACGAAACGGCCAAATTTATTTCACTGGATTATACTTCTTGAATAACATCTTCAAACCCCAATCTTTTCCATTACTGCTTATACTCTTACCCTTTCTATCACTAGGGGATTTGAATCGACAACTGCATCTCTGTGCTAATGTGGTGTGGCAACTCGAACTGATATACGTACGTAAGAGGTTCTACATTATTACTGACTGACTGACGAAACGGCCATCCAGTGTTTCCAAGTTTTCCATGATGGTCTATCTTCAACTAACTCATGATCTTAACCATTGAAATTATTATAATTAATCAATTGAAGGATGATGAATTTGACTGAATCTCAATTACCTAATTCTGTTGAAATCAGCTAAGAATTTCAAAATGTTTATAGTCAGTTTCATTGATGGCAGCTAATGTCTTTTCGTATTTATGAATAACAGATGGTATTGAATATTCACGAATAGTTACTGTTTAGTACAGTTTGTAGTTTTCATTCTATTTATAAGCAAACTAATTAAAGATTAACATTTTCTTTATATATTCAGATGGTTTTCATCATTGTGTATTAACTAATACAAAAGATTTACGTAAAGCAGTTGAATTAATGCAAAATCGTCGAACTGAAGATAATTGTGTAAGACTTCATGTTAGAGCAATACCAAAATTATTACGACCAGAATGTCGTTCACAGATTACTAATGATAAAGAATTTTCAGGTCAATATTTACCTAGTTATTTAGAAGCAATTGGTTTACAATCTTTTATACACAATGATTTCACTGATAATGAAAAACAATTTCTTAAACAAGATCCAATGACAAAAGATGAATATCGTTGGTAACAAATGTAAAATAGATATATGATGATGATGCTGATGATGATTCAAAATAGCTCCATTGAAAATATTCATATGAACTTAAACTGTAAACTATTTCTGTAGGTCATTGAACAATAATCTTTCATATATACATAAATATATATTGTTTTTCATGATCTTTGTTTACATAATATATTACCCCCCCGGTAACAATAATAATCACTACATTCTATATCACAAATATTGTTCAGTCAAAGAAATCAGTCATTCACTTACTCATAGATGAGTTACAATTTAGGTTTTACAAAAAAACAACATTATTTTTGTTTCATTTATCAAATCAATATAAATCACTCAAGATTTATAGACATTGAAACTTTATGGCAAGTTGTCAAGTGTTTTTGTTTTCTCTCTTCAAATATATAGTTATTTTTACTTTGTTGTTGTTATAACTGGTAACCTGTGTGCCCTGTCAGTGTATAACGTAATGATAATATCAAATAGAGAATAGTAATTTATCGATCGGATCAATGATGCATAAAACTTGTACGAGCAATCTAGAGTCTTTATCAGTCCTTCTCCCAGCCTAGTCTTGCCTGTTAAGTTCAGAACACAAGTCTTAGCCTCTGCAATATGAATCATTGATTTCAAGCATACTAGGTTTATATACCAATTAAACAGACCATATAGCACAAATAAAATATGAAACAATATTTGTACAAGATTTAGCCAAATTTGACTATGAATGTGAGAGATAGTAATTGATAGATCAGGCATAATTCATGAATGGTAAATCGTATAGTAATAGTTTATAGGTCAAAATGAAGCATATGATAAGAGGGACATGAATATGAATAGTTTAGTTATTTAACAATTATACGATAGAAATATACATATAGTATTAGTCGATAAATGGATCCCAACAGTTACCATTCATTATTTTCATCGGGATATAATAGTTGTTTATATGGTAAACTCCTTGGATGGTTCCACTTTTTTGAACTATTCCAGTAATATTTATTATTTCATTAGATGATGAGATTAGCAAACTTTATATATATATATTTTCGCTTGGTGTTGTTTTACTTGTATCTTCCCATTTTTATTTAGGACTGAAATTATTCAGTCTCTTTTTGGCATAGATGTATCCTGTGCGGAATGTCTCGATACTGTCTAAAGTCACAATCATTTATTTCTTATTTGATAATCTACTTTGTTTGATGAATCAACTATAAATGAAGCAAATTTTATGAAGTTTTCCTTCTTCAAACTAGGCAAACAATGAAAGTTCTTTCATAATTGATATTGTAATTTACAATACTTATTTCAATAGTTAGGTTATAACAACAGCTTTACTACAGAGGATTTGATCTTTGAATCTAAAAACTAACCATTATATTGATACTGGAAAACATAATAAGTCGGTTATAGTATGTTAGTCATACATCTCAGGAATGGATTTAGTACCAAAGAAAGTGAATAGTCTTGTATGAAAACAAATCGAAGTATCTAAAATGTTCAGATCAAATAAGTTTGATCAAGATAAAAATGATGTTAGTGATTTTTTCCGACATTGATTATGATTTAAGTTCAATGTTAATACATTTAGAAAATTATTCTACTTATGATTATTTAAGTAGTTCAGTTCATAAACTGAATGTAATTATCATCCATTGTATGATAGTAATGATATAAAATACATTCATCATATACTTATAATTTGAGAAACCATAGTCAGGGTTGGAGAAGGTCACATGAAACGTATGGAAGATGTGAAAACCATTACATATCTGAGCAGCATCATTGATGAACACGATAGATCTGATGCAGATCTGAAGGCACGAATCGGCAAAACAAGAGCAGCATATTTACAACTGAAGAACATCTGGAGCACAAAACAACTGTCAATCAACAAAAAGGTCAAAATTTTCAATGCAAATGTCAAGACAGTTCTATTGCATGAGGCAGAAACTTTCAGAACAACGAAAGCCATCATCCAGAAAAAACAAGTGTTTATTAACAGTTGACTACATAAAATACTTCGGATCCGTTGACCAGACACTACCAGCAACAACCTACTATGGGAGAGAACAAACCAGATTCCAATGAAAGAAAAAATCGGAAAGAAGATCTGTGATTGGATAGGACACACACACATCACAAGGCAAGCCCTCATATGGAATCCTCAATGCCAAAGGAGGAAAGGAAGATTAAAGAGCACATTACACTGAGAAATGGAGACAGACATGAGAAGAATGAATAAGAATTGGACATAACTAGAAAAGAAGGCTAAGGACAGAGTGAGTTGGAGAATGTTGGTCTTTAGCCTATCCTTCATTGAGAGTAACAAGTGTAAGCAAGTAAGTAATAGTATAGTTATATAGAAACAATTACAAACTGAGAATAAATAACGTTTAGTCGTATCGCTGAAGAGATTTATACTTAGATTGCCTATTCGTCATGTACTAGTACGTTAGTTTTAATAAGATAATAGGTGTATAAAATTAAGTGGCGATATGTATGGAATTATATTATTATTCGAGGTTATTTACAGGGTAAGCCCTATACCTGAATTCATATAAACTTTAATTGTTATTTTGAATAGTTAACTTCATTTACAAAAGGTTGAAAGTGGGGAAGGTACTTCACGTTCATTGTTGATGTCGTTCAGGAAGGAAAGGTATTCACAAGATAATACATGACCATGAGTATCTAGAAGCTTTTTAAAACTCTGTAGTTTTCAAGTCAGGATAATGTAAATCTAATCCATCGTCTTCTAGAATTCTACCGTAAGGTGCTTGAGAACTGTGAATTGCGGGAACATTTTCAACAATTTTTTTTACTGTTGAAGAATTTCTACAAGAAATATCAAAGAGAATCTAAACATTGAACACTGACATTTCTTGTATATAACTGAAGAAAATGTTTATTTACAAATTTCTCTTGACTGGTTTTTAACAAAAGTATCTCATACTTCATTATCCTTCGTTTGCGATAAATTAATGACCAACTAACTAGACTGAAACGGTTTGATGTTGTAATAATAATCCAACTAACTTCAAGAGATAATTCTAGGAGTCTTAAACAGAAGCCTTTACCATTAATGTTCAGCCACGTCTCGATTAAGATCTCTCGCCAATGAAAATAGATAACGGTCATGTAATATCATGAACTGACTGAAGTTAGAAATTTAAACTGTTTTGTAGCAACGCAGTTGGTCAAGTACTAACCATGAGACCTGGAGGTCATGGGTTTGATCTCAGGTTATGTTGTGGATGCACATTACTGTAGCGACCCACACTGTGATGGAACAATTGTCTGGTGCTAACTGGATTCTGGTAGTGGCTTAATTAAAACCAGTCTGTTAAATGAAACTTAGAAAACTAGTTGAATTACTTTTAAAAAAGTTAGTCAGGTCAAGTAATTAACTTAATTACAAAGACAAATGAAGAAAACAAATCACAAACAAGACCATCTAAGCAAACTGACATAATGTATACGGAATAATTAAACACTCACTTCAATAGGAAGTACATGCAGAAGATGTTGTTCATAAAAACAATATAGAGAGAATCCTATCCAGAGAACTCGACGACACCACAGTGATCGGTAACCAATATCGTATTTGTAAGGCTCATGATAACCATAAATTTTTTTCATACATTATGTTGTGATCAACAAAACGATTTTATGTGACTTTACATCAATCAAACTAGATTTCGGTATTCAAGTGTTGTAATCAGTCATTAAGATACCTTGAATCTAGACTTCTTTTAAATTGATATTTATCAGAATGATTTAAGAACAATCTTGAAGAATACTGGTACTACTCATGAGAATCTTACTTTTGTCACTCATCATAACAGTCAAAGAAATTAACACTGAACTATTTCATTAATGAACAGTGGTCAATTATAATAAATATTTCAAGTCATTCAAAACCGAACTGATTTAATAATATTGTGGGGTATGCTACTTATATAAACATAAGTAATATATAACGCTAGTTAGGAATGTCTGTCAGCAGGAGGTCAAGAAGATGGAAAAGGAAAGAACAGAAATGAAAAGCAATTGATATGGAAATGCTGGAACAATGAATTTTGAGAAAATTGATTGATTTACTGTATGGTTCTCAGATTTTATTAAGATATTCTGTTAGTTTGTATAGAAATCCATTCCACTGTCCCTACTTAAGTTCACGTTGATTACAATATAGTCTCTGACTGTGACACATGTGAATGAGGTCTATAGGTGAACAGTTAGCATTAATTGCCTAACGATTACCTATAAAGTCATGCTTACTATTAATAACTGACATGAGACTTACTTCTCACTCAAATGGTTTCAATCAGTTCAAATCATAAGTTTCTTTTTTAAATATTACAATTACTAAATTTAAAGTTCTCTAGCGTCATTCATCTTATAGAAACTTTTATTCATAGATTATATAAGTTGCATTCGTAATCCTTTCTATTGATGTAACACACACAAACACACACAAACACACACATGATTTGATTAATGACTTACAAATTAACTCTGGAAGTCATTAAGATTTTAGTTTTGCTTAGTAACAAAAAAGTATGATAATCCGGGATACATGAATGTTATTATTGTTTAAATAGGTTAATCATAAGATACATTGAATTCATTTAATTGATATTTTGATCAAATAATTTCTATGGAAATAAGTATATTGAATATTTATTGATTTATTAACTTAATAAATAATTATAGTTTAATAGTTGAATTGATAAGCCAATTGAAGTTAGACCATCATTGATAATCAGGAGGCACTGGACAGACGTTTCGTCCTAGTATAAGACTAGTGAATAGTGTATATCTATGATCCTGTTTCGTGAGATTCGAACCAAAGAATTGTCGGTCTCACATTCGAACGCTTAACCTCTAGACCAATGAGTCAGCAGGTATGCAACAGTGTTAATGTCTAACTTCAATCAATCCAATATTTATAATATATAAATTGAAAATAATTTTAATATCAGATGGAATTCAGTTTTTATTTTAACTTATGAAAGACAATTTCATGAACAGTTCGAATAAAGGGTACTTTAATTATAATGTGGATGTAACAACTTCCACAAAACTAATTGAATTGGAATATACAAATGAGTGAATATGTGGTTGGTTGTATATTTTGAATTGATTGTGTCGATAATGGATTAGTTGAAAGCTCAGAATTAAGTTTACTTTAATCGATCTATTTTCACTAGTTACTTGGTGACATATTAGAATAGTCATTTCTATGATCGTTGTCGTCCGACAAATTACCAAGTTCTCTACTTCGTCACCTATTGAATTATAATTGAGATGATAAACCGATCAATGTTACACCACCATTAAAAACCTGGAAGAACTGGAGGGCCGTTTCGTTCTAGTATGAATTGGTCGAAGTTAGACATTTTACATAATTGTT